GATGTTGCATGTTCGGGCTTTGTCCGGCGCAACAGTAGCAGAGCTTCATGTGGAGGAGCTGACAGGCAGACTTGAAGAAAGTGAGAGCTTGCTTGTGGTTGCGCTAAAAAGAAAATTAGGAGCTCAGCTTGGATGCTCGAGATTTCGATTGAAGCTTTTGGGCGAAGACAACAAGGAGATGCACGATGACATTCCCTTGACAGGCCCAGCAGATCTTGCACTGGTGAGAATGGATTTTCAGTCGTTGGATGCAGCCACAACCGCATCATTGATTTCCGCATGCAAAGGGGGTCGCGTCAGCGAAGTTGAACACCTGCTACGTGCTCCTCAAAACCCTGACGCAAGAGATGCCCAGAACAACTGCACTGGCATCCTAGAGGCTGCGAGGAATGGCCACCTAGCGATTGTGCAATTGCTGCTGGACGCTGGTGCTGACAAGGAGGTCGCTCGGCAAGATGGGGCGACAGCTTTGCACGTAGCAGCTCAGAATGGTCATTTGGATGTTGTGCGATTGCTGCTGGAGGCTGGTGCTGACAAGGATGTTGCCAGGCAAAACGGTGCAACAGTTTTGCAAACAGCAGCTTATAATGGCCATTCTGATGTTGTGCGATTGCTGCTGGAAGGTGGTGCGGAAAAGGATGCAGCAAGGCAAACTGGCGCAACAGCTTTACACATAGCAGCTCAGAACGGCCATGTGGATGTTGCACGATTGCTGCTGGAGGCTGGTGCTGACAAAGATGCAGCAATGCACAATGGTGCAACAGCTTTGTACATAGCAGCTCAGAATGGCCATTCAGATGTTGTGCGATTGCTGCTGGAAGCTGGTGCGGAAAAGGAGGCAGCCAGGCAAACTGGCACAACAGCGTTGCACGTCGCAGCTCAGTATGGCCATGTGGATGTTGCACGATTGCTGCTGGAGGCTGGTGCTAACAAAAATGCGGCAATGCAAGATGGCAAGACGGCTTTGCACGTCGCAGCTCAGAATGGCCATGTGGATGTTGCACGAATGCTGCTGGAGGCTGGCGCTGACAAAACTGCAGCAATGCAAGATGGAACAGCTTTGCACCTTGCGTCTCAGTTTGGCCATACAGATGTTGCGCGATTGCTGCTGGAAGCTGGTGCCGACAAGGAGGCAATGAGAGAAGATGGTGCGACCGCTTTGCACCTCGCAGCAGAGGAGGGCCATTTGGATGTAGTCGAATTGTTGCGTCCACCAGGTGCCGCAGGTGCTGCAGGTCACGTGCCAAAGAGAGCTAGATTCGGCGACTGAGAGGGCTTTCGATTCTTATGGCTTCGAGAACCCGACTCTATCGCAGGTTGCTTTGAGCTTGTCAAAATGGCAAATCCGATTGGGCGCCACCTTTGTGGTGATGGTACAATTACACCCCGTTGTTAAACCTCTTTTGTTGTTTGTTGTGTGGGTGACTGTAGGTGGTTTTTAGATGGATGGATGGCAATGTCTGTCATGCGACAAATGCCTACCCTGGGGAAGTCTTTCTCCATGAAATTTCCCCCAAAATCATATCTCGGTCCTGGAAAACATCTTGTCATGTGGGCTGAGGGTGAAGGGCTCCACCAGGGTCCCACATCCTTTCACCCTCGGGCTGCATGCGAAAGCCTCACAAGGGGTCCAGGAGCCGAAGAGGCTCCCAATCCCCTCAGGTTTAGGGTTTAGGGCTATGAGTGCTGAGGAGACCTGCTGCAACAAAAACAGGCTGATATGACATGTTCCAATTCCCCAACTCTAGCCGAGTTATAGCAGAAACATTCTGAGGATGTTTCAGATTAGTGGGAGGGAGTCACTACACACAGCATCCCTTTTTTATGCATCGAAAGGAAAGGAAGCCCTAAGAGGCACGTGGGTCTCTTTAAAGGGGTCGAGGTTTGCCATGAACTCCCTGATCCTCTTGTACACCCGGGTTTAGGGTTTAGGGTCTAGCCTCATGCTTCGAAGCAATTTTAAAATAGGCAGAAGGCCCTGGGTGAAGCGCGCCGTGCTCCGCAGGCGAAAGCAGCTGCAGAGCTCTCTTTTGATAGGCGCGAGTCGAGACCAAAGTCAGTGGAGTGACTGCCTTCGGGTTGACGGCCCTAAGTCGAATCCTTGAAAAGGCGCGTTTTAATCTCCTGCATGCCTTGCATAGCCGCGGGGCACAAGCTGGCACGCTGCGTGAAAAGATTGGGTGAAAACAAAAAGATACAAAAAGTATGCCGCGGGGCTCGCCAGCCATGGCAGTTGCTGCGGCTGTGCACCGCCTGGCATTGCTGGACCGCCGAGTAGCACGTAGCATCTTCGCCACGCTGCTGTTGATTGCGGCTTCCATCTTTCTTCGACTTCGTCGCAGGCTCCGAGGCGTGAACAGCTTGCCGCGGCTTCTCAAGATCCGTGGGCCGCCAGCTCATGCGGACGGTACAGCGAGTACCGGAGTTGCGGCCAGCACAAATGACGTAGCAGCCAGGAAGGAAGCCACCCCGCCCGAAGTTACCTCCGCTGTGCACAACTTCGCTGTCTTCAACGTGGGCGGAACGTTTCGTACCCCGATGGTGAGCAGGGCGAAGTGGTGGGTATCGATGCAGACGGCGACCTGCAGGTCGTGACCCGAAGTGGTCGACAGGCCACGTGGTATGGCTCGAGATGCTCTAAGGCACTGAGCAAAGGCAACAGAGTGAGGTATGCCTGCGGCGAAGTCGCGGAGCTTATGGGTTTTGACGGAGATGGCGACCTCATTGTCCAGAAGAGCGACGGCAAGGTGGCTTGCTGGTACCTCGCTCGCACTGAGAGGCTGTTGAGCGCAGGGGATCGCGTGACATACGTTTGTGGCGAAGTGGCGAGCGTGGTCGGCTTCGATGCCGATGGCGACGTGATTGTCCTCAAGCAGAATGGCCGCCAAGCAACCTGGTTTGCGCACAAGTGCACGTGAGAGTCACGAGCGATCCTGATCCTGCGCAAGGACCAAGGACAGCCGCAATTAGTCATGCCTGCGGCCAACATGGCTGTAGGTGACAGCATGTCAGGACAACCGTTGCCTAGTTACAAATTCTCCTGCATATTTCCAAAAAAACTGCACTGACTGTAATCGCTTGGCTCCTGTCCAACGTCGACACTTCCGTACCGGAGCAAAAAGTTGGAGTGCTCAGTGCTCATTTGTGATGGGATCGCCAGGCTGCGTAATTCCCAGTGTCCGTGTGTTGTCTCTACGATTTTTGTGAAGGTGTCCTGGAGCGTACCCCATCTACACACTGGGAATTCATAAGCCCAAATTCCTAACCCAAAACCCCTGTCAGGTCTACCTCCTTGGGATCCAGGCCAGAGGCCGTTTGGAGTTTAGGGTGTAGGGTTTAGGGGGTTTAGGGTTAGGGGGTTACATAGGGTTTAGGGGTTTAGGGTTAAAGGGTTTAGGGGTTATGGGTTTCGGGTTTCGGGTGCCGGGTTCGGGGGTCTAGGGGTTTAGGGGTTTAGGGCTGAGGGGTTTAGGAGTTTCCGATTGTAGGGCTTAGGGGATTGGGGTTTTGGAGTGCCGTGGTTTAGGGTTTGGGGTTAGGGGTTTAGGGTTTAGGGTTTGGGAGTTTCGGGCTTTAGGGTTTGGGGGTTTGTTTTGGGGTTGAGGGGTGTAGGGTGTAGGGGTTTGGGGTTTAGGGGTTGAAGGGTGTAGGGTTTCGCGGTTTGGGGGTTAAGGGTTGAAGGGTTTAGGGGTTTAGGATTAAAGGCTTCAGGGTTAGGGGTTTGGGGTTCGGGGTTTCGGGCAGTTCTAGACAGGTTCTTGTGGGTACAGGTTTTGTGGGCAAAATGGCGTATACAACGCCTCAGAAACGCAACGCCCATGCATGGATTGCATGACGGTTTTCGCTTTCGCGCAGGCCGCATTTCTCACTGCCCCGCCCTGATCCGTAGGCCCGACAAAATGGGTGCACTCCACAATTGGCTGACCTCTAGGAATGCACCTAGATGCTTTGCCAGCACTGTATGCACCCTTTCGTGAAGTCTCATACTTTGAGCCCGCCGATTTTGTTGCACTATGTACTAGCTTTACATGCATTCCTTTAGTGTTCACGGGATTGGACAGCATTCTTGTACGATCTGGCGCTCAGCCCGCCAATGCGCACTGGGTTTCAGGACCCTCAGACGACAAAGAGCCTCTCACTTTGCCTGACAAGGCTGACGTAGTGCTGAAAGTATCTGAGGGTCTTTCTGCCGCACTGAAGATGTCGGGGGCTGCCGGTTGAAGCGCCTCCTTTGATGTCAGCCGGCATGCCGCATGCCTGATTCATGCCTGATTCTGCCGACGTTGAGCAGAGGTCGCGACTGAATTGTCTGTGGGCACGATTTGGCCAAAGGGCTCAGCTTCTCTTGCTCCAGGTGGGATGCTTTACAGCTCTGGCAGCCCTGTCCGGGTCCCAGTGTTTCCTTTTGAACAGGGCGGTTGGGAAGGTGTTGGTTTGTAGGCTCTCTTTTTGGGGCAGTTTCCGCTAGGTCCGCAACTTCTTGGCCTCGCGCTGATTCCGTGGTCCTAGTCATGCGCGGGAATGCACAGCTATTCTTAAAGTGCTCTCCATGCTTTGGGAAGTTCCTTATGAAAGGCACTTGGAGAAGACCCTAAAACTCCCGCGCTGCACCCCCAGAAAGCCTTTTTGAAAGCCCGTAAAGCCCCGAACCTCTGCTCTGAATTTTACCTGTTACCATCGAATCCAAGAATACTCCCCAAAATGAGCCGCTCGGGAGGAACTACTGGTCCTACGGCCCGTGCCGCGGCTACCGCGCCTGGGTGAAGCGCGCCGCTGCTCCGCAGGCGAAAGCAGCTGCAGAGCTCTCTTTCGATAGGCCCTAGTCGAGACCAAAGTCAGTGGAGTGACTGTTTTCGGGTTGACGGCCATAAGTCGAATCCTTGAAATTAGTAAAGGCATTTTGACCTCTTGCATGCCTTGCATAGCCGCGGGGCACAAGCTGTCACGCTGCGTGAAAAGATTGGGTGAAAACAAAAAGTATGCCGCGGGGCTCGCCAGCCATGGCAGTTGCTGCGGCTGTGCACCGCCTGGCATTGCTGGACCGCCGCCGGGTAGCACGTAGCATCGCGGCCACGCTGCTGTTGATTGCCGCTTCCATCTTTCTTCGACTTCGTCGCAGGCTCCGAGGCGTGAACAGTTTGCCGCGGCTTCTCAAGATCCGTGGGCCGCCAGCTCATGCGGACGGTACAGCGAGTACCGCAGTTGCGGCCAGCGCATGTGAAGCGGCAGCCAGGAAAGAAGCCGTCCCGCCCGAAGTTACCTCCGCTGTGCACAACTTCGCTGTCTTCAACGTGGGCGAGAACGTCTCTTACCCCGATGGTGAGCAGGGCAAAGTGGTAGGTGTCGATGCAGACGGCGACCTGCAGGTCGTGACCCGAAGTGGTCGAAAGGCCACGTGGTATGGCTCGAGATGCTCTAAAGCACTGAGCAAAGGGAACAGAGTCAGGTACGCCTGCGGCGAAGTCGCGGAGCTTATGGGTTTTGACGGAGATGGCGGTTGAGAAGAGCGACGGCAAGGTGGCTTCCTGGTACCTCTCTCACACCGAGAGGCTGTTGAGCGCAGGGGATTGCGCAATCCCCTACACACAACACGCTCTCGGTGTGAGCGAGGTACCAGCAAGCAATCTTGCCGTCAGCGTTTGTGGCGAAGTCGGCTTCGATGCCGATGGGGACGTGATTGTCCTCAAGCAGGATGGCCGCAGAGCAACCTGGTTTGCGCGCAAGTGCACGTGATAGTGACCAGCGATCTTGATCCTGCACACGGAAAGCCGTAATTAGTCAAACCTGCGGCCAAGGCTGTAGGTGACAACATGCCATGACAAACGGAGTTACAAAATTCTCCTGCATATTTCCCAGAAACTGCACTGACTGTAATCGCTTGGCTTCTGTCGTTGACACTTCCGTACCGAAGCGAAAAGATTGGAGTGGTCAGGGCTCAGTTGCGATGGGATCGCGAGCCTGCGTAATTCCCTATACCAGTGCGTTGTTTCCACGATTTTTGTGAAGGTGAAGTTGCCCTGGCGCGATTCATGGGGGGGGAGGGGGGCGGGGCATTTTTGCTAAAACCGCCTCGAAATGCGTGTTTGCCTTGCCTGCGCAGGCGGCTGCTTGTCGGGCTTCGGAGGGGTTCTATTCTTATGTTCATGCATGACGTTTCGTCGACTAAGGCCTAAATCCTAAACCCTAAGCCTAAACCCCTGTCAGGTCGACAACTCCTTGGGACGCCAGAGGCCGAATCCAGACCGGTCGCTGAATAGAAGGGTTTAGGGTTTAGGGGGTTCGGGTTTCGGGCTTGAGGGTTTGGGTGTTTCGGGGTTTCGGGTTTCGGGGTTTAGGGTTTTGGGGTGTGGGGGTTTAGGGGTTTAGGGGTTCAGGGTTTAAGAGTTTCGGGTTTTAGGGTTCAGGGGATTAGGGCTTTGGAGTTTCGGGGTTTAGTGTTTGGGGGTTTTAGGGTTTAGGGGCTTCAGGTGTCGGGTTTTAGGGTCTGAGGGTTTATGGTTTCGGGGTTTAGGGGTTTAGGGTTTAGGGGTTTAGGGCAGTTCTAGACGGGCTTTTGTGAGTCAATGGCGTATACACCGCACCAGAAACATAACGCCCGGGCGTGGATTGCATGACGGTTTTCCACGCCCTGATCCGTAGGGCCGGCAAACACTGTTAGCTGTCCTCAAAGAATGCACCTGGATTGCTTTGCCAGCATTGTATGCACTCTTTCATGAACTCCATGCTCTGAGCCCGCCGACTTTGTTGCACTATGTGTTGGGTATACGTGCACTCCTCTACTATCCACCAGATGAGACTTAAATTCTTGTACAATCTGGTGCTCAACCCGCCCATGCGCAGTGGCTTTCAGGACCTTCCAATGACGACAAGGAGCCTCTCACTTTGCTGACAAGGCTGGCGTTGGTGAGAAGTGCTGAACGTATCTGAATGTCTTTTTGCCGCGCTGAAGATGCCGGGGGCGGGTGAAGCGAGCTGGGCCTCCTTTGATGTCAGCCAGCGTGCCGCACGCCTGATACTGCCGACGTTGAGCAGACGTGGCGCGCCTGAATCGGGTGTCGGCATTCTTTGGCCAAAGGGCTCCGCTTCTCTTGCTCCAGGTGGGATGCTTTACAGCTGTGGCAGCCGTGTCCGAGTCTCAGGGTTTCCTGTTGAACATCTCCGTTTTGGGTCAGTTTCTGTTAGGTCCGCGACTTCTTGGCCTCGCGCTGATTCCGCGGTCCCAGTCATGCGCGGAATGCACAATTATGTTCGAAGAGCTCTCTACGCTTGGGAGCTCCTTGTGAAAGGCACCTGACGAAGACCCCAAAGCTCCCGTGCAGCACCCCCAATAAGCCCTTGTTCGCTGGAAGCCCTTAAAGCCCTGAACCTCTGAATGATGGAAGCGTTCTCTATGCTTGGGGATACAAGCCCCTCGTGCAAGATACCTGGAGAAGACCCTAAAACTTTCGAGCCGTGCCCCCAAAAGGCCCCTATGCGCTGAAAGCCCGCAAAGCCTGAAGCCGCGGAATGATACCCGTTATCATGAAATCCGGAAACCCCTATACTCCCAGGTCCTACGGCCCGTGCCACGGCTACCGCGCCTGGGTGAAGCGCGCCGCTGCTCCGCAGGCGAAAGCAGCTGCAGAGCTCTCCTGCGATAGGCCCTAGTCGAGACCAAAGTCAGTGGAGTGACTGTGTTAGGCTTGACGGCCATAAGTCGAATCCTTGAAGTTAGTAAAGGCATTTTGATCTCTTGCATGCCTTGCATAGCCGTGGGGCACAAGCTGTCACACTGCGTGAAAAGATTGGGTGAAAACAAAAAATATGCCGCGGGGCTCGCCAGCCATGGCAGTTGCTGCGGCTGTGCACCGCCTGGCATTGCTGGACCGCCACCGGGTAGCACGTAGCATCGCGGCCACGCTGCTGTTGATTGCCGCTTCCATCTTTCTTCGACTTCGTCGCAGGCTCCGAGGCGTGAACAGCTTGCCGCGGCTTCTCAAGATCCGTGGGCCGCCAGTCCACGCGGACGGTACAGCGAGTACCGGAGATGCGGCCAGCACAAATGACGTAGCAGCCAGGAAGGAAGCCACCCCGCCCGAAGTTACCTCCGCTGTGCACAACTTCGCTGTCTTCAACGTGGGCGAGAACGTTTCGTACCCCGATGGTGAGCAGGGCGAAGTGGTGGGTATCGATGCAGACGGCGACCTGCAGGTCGTGACCCGAAGTGGTCGACAGGCCACGTGGTATGGCTCGAGATGCTCTAAGGCACTGAGCAAAGGCAACAGAGTGAGGTATGCCTGCGGCGAAGTCGCGGAGCTTATGGGTTTTGACGGAGATGGCGACCTCATTGTCCAGAAGAGCGACGGCAAGGTGGCTTGCTGGTACCTCGCTCGCACTGAGAGGCTGTTGAGCGCAGGGGATCGCGTGACATACGTTTGTGGCGAAGTGGCGAGCGTGGTCGGCTTCGATGCCGATGGCGACGTGATTGTCCTCAAGCAGAATGGCCGCCAAGCAACCTGGTTTGCGCACAAGTGCACGTGAGAGTCACGAGCGATCCTGATCCTGCGCAAGGAAAGCTGCAATTAATGCAATTAGTCTTGCCTGCGGCCAACATGGCTGCAAGGTGACGACGTGTCATGACAACCGTCGCCTAGTTACAAATTCTCCTGCAGATTTCCCAGAAACTGCACTGACTGTAATCGCTTGGCTCCTGTCCAACGTCGACACTTCCGTACCGGAGCAAAAAGTTGGAGTGCTCAGTGCTCATTTGTCATGGGATCGCCAGGCTGTAATTCCCAGTGTCCGTGTGTTGTCTCTACGATTTTTGTGAAGGTGTCCTGGAGCGTACCCCATCTACACACTGGGAATTCATAAGCCCAAATTCCTAACCCAAAACCCCTGTCAGGTCTATGCACCTCCTTGGGATCCAGGCCAGAGGCCGTTTGGAGTTTAGGGTGTAGGGTTTAGGGGGTTTAGGGTTAGGGGGTTACATAGGGTTTAGGGGTCTAGGGGTAAAGGGTTTATGGGTTTCGGGTTTCGGGTTCCGGGTTCGGGGTCTAGGGGTTTAGGGGTTTAGGGGTTTAGGGGTTTAGGGGTTTAGGGGTTTAGGGGTTTAGGGGTTTAGGGGTTTAGGGGTTTAGGGGTTTAGGGCTGAGGGGTTTAGGAGTTTCCGATTGTAGGGTTCAGGGGATTAGGGTTTTGGAGTGCCGTGGTTTCGGGTTTGGGGTTAGGGGTTTAGGGCTTAGGGTTTGGGAGTTTCGGGCTTTAGGGTTTGGGGGTTTGTTTTGGGGTTGAGGGGTGTAGGGTGTAGGGGTTTGGGGTTTAGGGGTTGAAGGGTGTAGGGTTTCGCGGTGTGGGGGTTAAGGGTTGAAGGGTTTAGGGGTTTAGGATTAAAGGCTTTAGGGTTAGGGGTTTAGGGTTCGGGGTTTCGGGCAGCTTTAGACAGGTTCTTGTGGGTACAGGTTTTTGTGGGCAAAATGGCGTATACAACGCCTCAGAGACATAACGCCCATGCATGGATTGCATGACGGTTTTCGGTTTCGCGCAGGCCGATTTTCTCACTGCCCCGCCCTGATCCGTAGGCCCGACAAAATGGGTGGACACCACAGTTGGCTGACCTCTAGGAATGCACCTAGTTGCTTTGACAGCGCTGTATGCACCCTTTCGTGAAGCCGAATACTCTGAGCCCGCCGATTTGTGCACTATGTATTAGCTTTACATGCACTCCTTTAGTCTTCACCAGATTCGACAACATTCTTGTAGGATCTGGCGCCCAGCCCGCCAATGCGCACTGGGTTTCAGGACCTTCCGACGACAAAGAGCCTCCCACTTTGCCTGACAAGGCTGGCGTTGGTGAGACGTGCCGAACGTGTCTGCATGTCTTTTTGCCGCACTGAAGATGTCGGGGGCTGCCGGCTGAAGCGCCTCCTTTGATGTCAGCCGGCGTGCCGCATGCCTGATTCTGCCGACGTTGAGCAGACGTCGCACCTGAATTGGTGTTTTCGGCATTCTTTGGCGAAAGGGCCCCGCTTCCCTTGCTCCAGGTGGGATGTTTTGCAGCTGTGGCGGCCGTGCCCGGGTCTCAGGGTTTCCGTTTGAACAGGGCGGCTGGGAAGGTGTTGGTTTTCAGGCTCTCTTTTTTTGGGGCAGTTTCCGCTAGATCCGCGACTTCAGTCATGCGCGAAATGCACGACAAAGCAGCTGCAGAGCTCTCTTTCGATAGGAGCTAGTCGAGACCAAAGTTAGTGGAGTGACTGCTCTCGGGCTGACGGCCATAAGTCGAATCCTTGAAGTTAGTAAAGGCATTTTGATCTCTTGCATGCCTTGCATAGCCGTGGGGCACAAGCTGTCACACTGCGTGAAAAGATTGGGTGAAAACAAAAAGTATGCCGCGGGGCTCGCCAGCCATGGCAGTTGCTGCGGCTGTGCACCGCCTGGCATTGCTGGACCGCCACCGGGTAGCACGTAGCATCGCGGCCACGCTGCTGTTGATTGCCGCTTCCATCTTTCTTCGACTTCGTCGCAGGCTCCGAGGCGTGAACAGCTTGCCGCGGCTTCTCAAGATCCGTGGGCCGCCAGTCCACGCGGACGGTACAGCGAGTACCGGAGATGCGGCCAGCACAAATGACGTAGCAGCCAGGAAGGAAGCCACCCCGCCCGAAGTTACCTCCGCTGTGCACAACTTCGCTGTCTTCAACGTGGGCGAGAACGTTTCGTACCCAGATGGTGAGCAGGGCGAAGTGGTAGGTGTCGATGCAGACGGCGACCTGCAGGTCGTGACCCGAAGTGGTCGACAGGCCACGTGGTATGGCTCGAGATGCTCTAAAGCACTGAGCAAAGGGAACAGAGTCAGGTACGCCTGCGGCGAAGTCGCAGAACTTCTGGATTTTGACGGAGATGGCGACCTCATTGTCCAGAAGAGCGACGGCAAGGGGGCTTGCTGGTACCTCGCTCGTACCGAGAGGCTGTTGAGCGTAGGGGATCGCGTGGCATACGTTTGTGGCGAGGTGGCGAGCGTGGTCGGCTTCGATGCCGATGGCGACGTGATTGTCCTCAAGCAGAATGGCTGCCAAGCAACCTGGTTTGCGCACAAGTGCACGTGACAGTCACGAGCGACCCTGATCCTGCGCAAGGACCAAGGACAGCCGCAATTAGTCACGCCTGCGGCCAACATGGCTGTAGGTGACAGCATGTCAGGACAACCGTCGCCTAGTTACAAATTCTCCTGCATATTTCCAAGAAACTGCACTGACTGCAATCGCTTGGCTCCTGTCCAACGTTGACACTTCCGTACCGGAGCTAGAAAATCGGACTGCTGCTCAGCGCGATTTCTAGTGCCAGTGTATTATCTCTACGAAGGTGGTGAAGGTGCCCTGACACGTGCCCCACTAAAGCAGTAAACCCCTAGAGAATGGGTATTGATGGGGAGGGAGGGGGGGGGGGGATTTTTGTTCAAAACCATAAGCCCTAAACCCTGAACTCCCGTCAGGTCTACACCTCCTTGGAGGCCCACTCCAGATGCCGAATCCAGACGTGCCGCTTCTTACCAGGTTGGCTTAGGGGGTTAAGGGGTTTCGGGTTGGGGGTTCAGGGGTTTGGGGGTTTAAGGGTCTAGGATTTAGGGGTTTAGGGTTTAGGGGCTTAGGGTTTACGGGTTTAGGGTTGGGGGTTTTGGGCGGTCCTAGACGCGCTTTTGCAAGTAAAATGAGGTATGCAAGGCATCAGAAGCATAACGCCTTTGCATGAACTGCACATGTTTTGTTTCGAACAGGCTTATAAGGGTTCAGTTTAGGGTTCAGGGTTTGGGGTTGAGGCTGGAGGGCTTGGAGGATTTGGGGTTCAGGGTCTAGTTCTGCAGCGCTGCGCTGAGGCTGCCATTTCTAGGGCTCTCATGTTTGAGTCAGGGCGTGGCAGTGAAAAAAAGCTTCTAGACGTTTATGGGCTGGTTTATGGGGTTTAGGGTTTAGGGTTTAGGGTTTACAGTATATTTGGTTTTAGAGGGTTTCCGGTGGCGATAGGTAGGGGTGGGCTTTTGGCAAGATGGGAACTTGCTTCAGAAGGCCCGCCTGTCCCCTCTGAAGTTCGCTAGCATTTCTTGACGGTGCTCCTCTGCCAGCAGGCTGCGTGCCAGGGTGAGCTCGACAGGAGTCCGTGCCTGTGACGTGTGGCCAAGATCGATCCAATCCGCCGAGCAGGATCCGTGTGAAGGCCAGCGCGGCGCGAGGCCAAAAAGACGCAGGTTGCGTTGATGCTCCACCTTGCACCCTTTGTCTTTGCTTTGATTGTGCAGCTACGCTGCCCCATGTCTCCGTTGGACTTCCTCTTTCGCAACTTACTGATGCAATGCATCTTCATGTCTTGGCTTGCTCGAGGACTACGAACATTCGTTTGTGTCCAGCATTGGCGCCTCTACGCCAGTGGCGGTGCTCTTAGTCTCTCTAACAAACGGCCTTTTTTGGCTTCGACATTCTTTTGCCCACAGTGACTCTTCAACGCATCTCTGTCAGTGTATGATTACACACATGTACATTGACTCATGTACACCATACAGGCATGCATGCGATTTTCGGTTTACGGGTTGCTACATACTTGTGACCTCTGCGTCTGACCTGTGCCAACTCTTCGCTGGCCTTCGAGCGGCGCGATGGCTCCAACTGAAGAGGTGTGGAATGGGGGTTTAGGGTTTAGGGTTTAGGGTTTAGGGTTTAGGGTTTAGGGTTTAGGGTTTAGGGTTTAGGGTTGACAGTAGAACTCATCTTGGACCTCCACGTAGGCCGGGGCCCTCGCACTCAGATTCAGCATGATTCATGACAGCTTCAAGTTAGGGTTTAGGGTTTAGGGTTTAGGGTTTAGGGTTTAGGGTTTAGGGTTTAGGGTTTAGGGTTTAGGGTTTAGGGGCAGACTCGGCTTGCCCTCGGCTGGGAGGTCCCTCCCGCAAAGCCCCGGAAGGGCCCAAAATGTGTTTGGTCTGCCTTTCACCTCAAGCCCTAAACCCCATGCCCGAAACCCTCAACCCTAAACCCTAAACCCTAAACCCTAATCCCTGAACCCTAAACCCTAAAACCCTAAAACCCTCAGACCCGAATCTCGAAGCCCAAAGCCCACAGTCCTCTTCCGGAGGCGCGGCTGCGTCCGTGCTCGACGGGGCGACTCTCCCGAAGTTTCAGCAAGGAGGGGTCGGCTTCCGGCCGCAGCCCTGGAGCAGGGGTTTGGGGTTTCGGGTTTCGGGTTTAGGGTTTAGGGTTTAGGGTTTGGGGTTTCGGGTTTAGGGTTTAGGGTTTAGGGGTATTGGGGTTTAGGGTTTCGGATCTCGGGTTTGGGGTTTAAGACTTAGGGTTTGGGGGGTTAGGGGTCAGGGCCGTTCAGCCGGGATAAGGGCGCCGGAGGAAGCGAACATTCAAACCCAGATTGCGCATCTGGGTAGTTTCCTCAATGAGGGTCCCTTGTTTGGGTACCCATGACAAGGCGGCACCCCTTAAAGAGGGATCCCAAAAGCAGGGCCCTAGTTTAGAGAACTACCCATGCGTGGCCCGCCCCTTCTG